GTATTTCTCACGAAACGTATTGCATTAACACATGTTTTGCTATACACATGTTTATTCCCTTTGTGTGTATTGGGACAAAACAAAAAAAGGGAGGAAAGAAAGCAAATTCGACATAATGTCACACAAACCTCCAAAAATGGGCTGGACAAAAGTATTGGCACCCTTTCACAACTGCGGATAAATAAGAATGTTACAAGCATGTGATGCTCCTGTAAACTCACCTGGGGCAAGTAACAGGTGTGGGCAATATAGAAATCACACCTGAAAGCAGATAAAAAGGAGAGACGTTCACTTAACCTTTGCATTGTGTGTCTGTCTGTGCCACACTAAGCATGGACAACAGAAAGAGGAGACGAGAACTGTCTGAGGACCTGAGAACCAAAATTGTGGCAAAAATATCAACAATCTCAAGGTTACAAGTCCATCTCCAGAGAACTAGATTTGCCTTTGTCCACAGTGCGCAACATTATCAAGAAGTTTGCAACCCATGGCACTGTAGCTAATCTCCCTGGTCGTGGACGGATGAGGAAAATTGATGAAAGATTGCAACGCAGAATAGTCCGGATGGTGGATAAGCAGCCCCAAACATGTTCCAAAGACATTCAAGCTGTCCTGCAGGCTCAGGGAGCATCAGTGTCAGCGCGAACTATCCGTCGACATTTAAATGAAATGAAACGCTATGGCAGGAGACCCAGGAGGACCCCACTGCTGACACAGAGACATAAAAAAGCAAGACTACAGTTTGCCAAAATGTACTTGAGTAAGCCAAAAGCCTTCTGGGAAAACGTCTTGTGGACAGATGAGACCAAGATAGAGCTTTTCGGTAAAGCACATCATTCTACTGTTTACCGAAAACGGAATGAGGCCTACAAAGAACAAAACACAGTACCTACGGTAAAATATGGTGGAGGTTCAATGATGTTTTGGGGTTGTTTTGCTGCCTCTGGCATGGGTGCCTTGACTGTGTGCAAGGCATCATGAAATCTGAGGATTACCAAAGGATTTTGGGTCGCACTGTAGGGCCCAGTGTCAGAAAGCTGGGTTTGCGTCCAAGATCCTGGGTCTTCCAGCAGGACAATGACCCCAAACATACGTCAAAAAGCACTCAGAAATGGATGGCAAAGAAGCGCTGGAGAGTTCTGAAGTGGCCAGCAATGAGCCCAGATCTAAATCCCATTGAACACCTGTGGAGAGATCTTAAAATTGCTGTTGGGAAAAGGTGTCCTTCCAATAAGAGAGACCTGGAGCTGTTTGCAAAGGAAGAGTGGTCCAAAATTCCGGGTGAGAGGTGTCAGAAGCTTATTGATGGTTATAGGAAGCGACTGATTTCAGTTATGTTTTCCCAAAGGGTGTGCAACCAAATATTAAGTTAAGGGTGCCAATACTTTTGTCCAGCCCATTTTTGGGTTTTTGTGTGACATTATGTCATATTTGCTTTTCTGCCTCTGTTTTATTATTTGTTCCAATACATACAAAGGGAATAAACATGTGTATAGCAAAACATGTGTTAATGCAATACCTTTTTTGTGTGAAATACTTGATTTTCAGGAAAAATATCAAGGGTGCCAACAATTTCGGCCATGACTGTAGCTGTGTAAAGACGTGTAAACAAGTTTTTTGCGGTTTTGCATTAGCGTTTAACAGCGTTGTGCCGCGTTTAGTGGCGTTTTTCCCGCATTTGTGGGTTTTAGGGGTTTTTTACCACCCGAAAATATATTTTTTTGATCAAAAATAGTCCAGAACTCCAGTTTGCGATGGTTTTCTTCGATTTACCGTGTTTCGCTGCATTTTTTAAGAGTTAGAGTGTTTTTACAGCTAAAAAAGTCTCTAGAAACCCAATAATCCTGGGTTTTTTCCAGCCAGAAAACATCCCTGCCGAAAAACGTTTTACAGTCTGTGTGCATGGACACGTAGGACAAGATGCTGGGGGATTTACTAGCTGTAGAAAAAAAGTCAAAAGCCAAAAACAGCAGCTGTAAAAACATCCAGTAATTGAAGGCATGATAGGCTTCCCTGAAGAGATGAGTTTTCAGGTATTGCCTAAAGGCAGCCAGAGTAGTGGATAGCCGGACAGATTGAGGTAGAGAGTTGCAAAGGATAGGAGTGGCTTTGGCGATGTCCTGTAGACGAGCATGGGAGAGAGGAGGCAAGGGAGCTCGAGAGCAGGCAATCATGAGAGGAGTAGAGAGGACAGTTTGGGTGATATTTGGAGACAAGATTGGTGATGTAGCTTGGGGCAGAGTTGTTTATAGCTTTGTAAGTTGTTAGCATTTTTAATTTAATTCACTGGGTAATTGGAAGCCAGTGGAGGGATTGGCATAGATGGGCATGGACACTGAGCGGTTGGTAAGGTACAAAAGTCTGGCAGCAGCATTCATATTAGACTGAAGAGGGGATAGCCTACGAAGAGGTAGGCCTATGAGAATGGAGTTGCAATAGTCAAGGCGAGAGAAACAAGGGGGGGTGAACGAATAGCTTGGTGGTTTTATTAGTTAAATGGGAGCAAATTTTAGAGATGTTACGGAGGTGAAGTCTACAAGCTTTTGACAGTGATTGGATTTGAGCCGAAGTATAGTTCCCTGGAATGACGAATCACGCTTCTCTATCTGGCAATCCGATGGATGTGTCTGGGTTTGGCGGTTGCCAGGAGAACATTACTTACCTGACTGCATTGTGCCAAGTGTAGTGTTTGGTGGAGGAGGGGTTCTGGTGTAGATTTTTTTTTCAGGGATTGGGCTTGGCCCCTTAGTTCCTTAGTTCTAGTTTTTAAGGCATCAGCATACCAAGACATTTTGGACAATTTCATGCTCCCAACTTTGTGGGAACAGTTTGGGGATGGCCCCTTCCTGTTCCATCATGACTACGCACCAGTGCACAAAGCAAGGTTCATAAAGACATGGATGAGAGAGTTTGGGGTGGAGAAACTTTACTGGCCTGCTTAGAGCCTGACCTCAACCCGATAGAACACCTTTGGGATGAATTGGAGTGGAGATTGCAAGCCAGGCCTTCTTGTCTGACAGTCAAACATTCCCATAGACACACTCCTACATCTTGTGGACAGCCTTCCAATAAGAGTTGAAGCTGTTATAGCTGAAAAGGGTGGGCCAACTCAATATTGAACCCTATGGACTAAGACTGGGATGTCATTAAAGTTTACATGCATGTGAAGGCAAGCATCACAATACTTTTGGCAATATTGTGTGTGGTTTTTTTTTTGTATTTTTTTTATAGTATATATTAATTATACATATTAATACCTCTGTTTACAAACGCCTTGGTTAATGTAATTTTCGGTTTACGAATGAAAATTCATTTAAAATGCCTCAGTTTACAAATTTTTTTCACAATACGAAGTGTCAGTGCTGATTTTTAAATGCAATTGCCGGCTTTCGGAGTGACCCCTGCAACCACTGGCCAGGGTTGTGTGGAAGAGGTCCTTGTCCCATCAAGGGACAAGGTGTTTTGGGGGGGGAGAACCCCCCCATGTTGAGTGCATGTGGCCTTGTATGGTTCGGGGGGGAGGGGGGTGCTCGCTTGTCTCACACCACCCCCCTTTCCTGGCTTGCCATGGTAAATGCTCAGATAAGGGTCTGGTAGGGATTTTGGGGAGGACCCCCACATCCTTCTTCTTTTTTTTTTTTTTTTTTTTTTTTTTTTTTTTTTATTTTGCCATAGGAGTTCCCCCTCAAAATCCATACCAGACCCAAAGGGCTAGATATGGATGGGAGGGGGACCCCATGCTGTTTTTTTAAATTATTTTTTTAATTGCCGGCAATTTTACATTCAGCTGTAGGTAGGGAACCCCGCTGACAGTTGAAACATTAACCTATGGTTGTCACTACTAAAATACTGCATGATTTTTCGGTTTGAAAATGATGATTTCGGTTTACAAATTTTTCGCTATATGAAAAGTCCTGCAGAATGAATTAAACACACACACACACGTATATATTTGGACACAGGCACAAATTTCATACTTTTGGATCTGTATGCTGCCAGAATAAATTAACAAAATTAACGAAACAATCCAAATGAATTTGAGGTGCAGACTTTCAGCTTTAATTCAAGGGGTTGAACATAATTATCAAGTGCAAATTTTAGGAACTGCAGCCATTTCTATACACAGTCCCTCCATTTTCAGGGGCTCAAATGTAATTGGACAAATGAATATAATTATAAATAAAATGTTCATTTTGTAATATTTTGTTATTCCTTTACTGGCAATGACTGCCTGAAGTCTGGAACGCATGGACATTACCAAAGACTGGGTTTCCTCATTTCTGATGCTTTGTCAGGCTCTAACTGCAGCTGTCTTCAGTTCTTTGTTTGTGACTCTTTCTTAGTTTTGCCTTCAGCAAGTAAAATGCATGCTCAATTGGGTTGAGATCAGGCGATTGACTCAGCCATTGCAGAATATTCCATTTCTTTTCCTTCAACAGCTCCTGGGTTGCTTTTTGCAGTGTGTTTTTTTGGATCATTGTCCATCTGTACTGCAAAGCACTGTCCAGTCAACTTTGCTGCATTTGGCTGAATCTGGACTGACAGTATATCTTTAAACACTGCAGAATTCATCCGGCTGCTTCTGTCTTCTGTCACATCATCAATAAATACCAATGACTCAGTGCCACTAGAAGCCATGCATGCCCATGCCATCGCACTGCCTCCACCATGTTTTACAGATGACATTGTGTGCTTTGGATCATGAGCTGCTCCCAGCCTTCTTCACACTTTTTTCTTCCCGTCATTCTGGTACAGATTAATCTTAGTTTCATCCGTCCAAAGAATGCTTTTCCAGAACTGGTCTGGCTTTTTTAGATGTTTTTTTGGCAAAGTCTAATCTGGCTTTTCTATTCTTCAGGCTTATGAATGGTTTGCACCTTGTGGTGAACCCTCTGTATTTACTCTCGTAAAGTCTTCTCTTGACAATGATACGCCCACCTCCTGGAGAGTGACCTTCACTTGTCTGGATGTTGTGAATGGGTTTTTCTTTACCATAGAGAAGATCCTGCGATCATCCACCAATGTTCTCTTCTGTGGACGTCCATGCCTCTTTTATGTTGCTGAGCTCACCCGCGTGTTTTTCTTTCCTCCGAATGTACCAGACTGTTAAGCACTGATGATCTGTGTAGCCACAGCAGCGCCACCTGTCAGTGTCCATCAGTGCCAGCTCTCAGTACTCATCCATGCCACCTGTCAGTGCCACATATCAGTGCCCATCTGATCTGTCTTTCAGTGCCGCCTACCAGTGTGCATCACTGCCATATATGAGTGCTGCCTTTCAGTGCCCATCAGTGATGCCGGTCAATGCCCATCAGTGCCACCTACCAGTGCCTCCTTATCAGTGCCCATCAGTGTAGCCTATCAGTGCCCATCACTACAGTCTCATTAGCACACATCAGTGAAGGAGAAAAATCACTTATTTACAAAATTTTATAACAAAAAATTTTCAGTGGTTTTTTGGTTTGTTTAAGAAAAAATAAACCCAAAGGTGATTAAATCCCACCAAAATAAAGTTCTATCTGTCACAAAAAATAAACATTTCATATGGGTACAGTGTTGCACTTTGAATGACAATTGCGCGGTCATGCAACACTGCTGAAAGCTGGAAATTGGCCTGGGCAGGAAGGGGGGTATAAGTGCCCTGTAGGCTAGTGGTTAAAGCATTGCCTATAGATAATAAAAGGTTCCTTAGTTCTTTGCCATTGCACGGGTGTGTGCAGCTTTATAGCGCAACATGTTTGATATTTTTATCATCTTTTATATTTTACCAAACAATGGGGCATTATATTGTTTTTTGTGAGTTAAAATTCATAAAAGTGTGTTTTGTTTTTTTTTGTTTTTTTTTTAAATTGCGTTTGAAAAACTGCTTCACAAATACCGTGTAACATAAAAAATTGAAAACCCACAATTTTATTCTTTAGGGCTTTTGCTTTAAAAAAATTATATTTGTATAATCTTGTAAAAATACTGATTTTTTTTTTTTTTTTACAAAGAAATAAATAGGCCCAGTTTTGAAGTGGTTAAAATGTACAGGTTTTAATGAAAAAGATGATCGATAGAGTAATCCTGACCTGCAGATTTTTGTTTTAGGAACTTTCTATTATGAGGTGGTGATTCTCTGTCTCCCAGTTGTACTTCATGTTGTCACCCTGTAATGTGTACCTCCTGTGAAGGCTTCCTGTGCCGATGCTCATTGTGCAGGCATGTTCATTGTTGTTACCAATAGGAAACCCACCCTAAATAATGACATTTCCGATGCCTCTACAGTTCTTATGGATACGAAGTGGCTGGAGGAGATCACAAATCTAATACTGGTCTTGCATGAGGGTGCAAAAGAAGTGTCATTCCAAAAGCCCTCGTGCCATTTAATTGTTCCGGCTCAGTTTTTTGCACAGGGAAGCTTTGCTTCACCGCCCAAGAATGATTATGTAGAGAAATTTATGCTTGCATAAGAACCTAATCATACAGGTGTTTGCTTTGTGACAGGGAATGCAATTAAATACCTGTAATATGAACCGTACGCATATAGTATACAAGGTAAGTCAAACCGATCTAAAACAGTTGAAAAAGTTCATCTTAAAAAAACACCCAAAATAAAACTGATCCAGTCCAATAGTTTTATAGCCCAACTCAAAGCAACCAAACATAATTTAGATTTGGATAGAGTAGGGAAGGATTAGCACCTCTATTAGGTTTCTTCACATCTGTGTTCCTATTGTAAGGATTTCTTTTTGCTTTCTTTCAAAACAGAATGATGAGAAATCTCTTCCAGCTAGGACATTGACACAGACAAAACATGTTTGTATAAAGTGGGAACGGGTTTGAACTCCTGACAATTGCCATTCCTGCCTTGGTGGCAACCCGTCCCACCATTCTTGCTACAGGAGTGGCAGAAGTAGCGTATTCTGACATTTCTCAGCTTTTTTTTTTTTTTTCCTAGAAAATTTAGAACCACCAAACTATACACCTATATAACTATAACACTTGTAGAATGGCGACAAACTACGGTGCTTACATTCCCCTTTGGGCGACGCTTTAAAAGCCTTTACAGATTATGTGTTTGGGACCTATGTATGCATTCACCTTTACGCACAAGCACAGGGGGGTTGGATGCTTTAAAAATAAAAAAAAAATATTTATTTACATTTGTTTTTATACTGTTTCTTTTATCAACTTTATTGATATCCCAAGGGATGAACAACATCCCTTGTGATAGCATGGGCAGTGACAGGTACTCTTTACTGAGAGGTCTTTGGTCTTTTGATCCATGTATGGGCAGGCTGGCTGTGCACAAGTCAATTGACTTTTGTACATCCAGCCTGTTGGACAGTATTTTATGTTTTTACCTTTACCCAAAGTTGCATTTGTATGCCATTTTGTAGTATTCCCCCCCCCCTTCTTAGAATATAATTAAAGTGTTACTAAATCTAGGATCCTGCATTTACTATATCTATTCTCCCACACAACATGGAATTGCAGTTATTTTAGTAAATATAAACTCCTTTTCTCATCAGCTGTATATATCAGTTTTGTGACTTCTATCAGTGTCCAGCTGAGCACATGTTAAAGTTGTAGGGGGAGTTTTCATATTGCTCTAGGAGGATGTAGACCTCCTGACCTCTGTTTTGACAGTGCTGATTGGCCCTGCTGTCGTGCTGGCGTTGCTGTCTGGCTTTTGGCCTATGCCAAAATGATGTCATATGTTTCATAGATATTTCTTGTCTAAGCACACCCTCCTGCCATCATGCCTGAGCTAAGGATTCTAGGTAGTAAATGAACATGTCATCTGTCCTTAAGATACCGGTAGCTGTGGCTAGAAATGTTTAGTGTTTTTCAGAGTGGTTTCGCAGAATTGGCTCCCGCTGCTATCAATTACAGCCAGTCAGCCAATGAGGAGGGGGGGGGGGGGCAAGCCGTGGCTCCGTGTGTAAGTGGACACACAGAGCAATGGCTTAGGAACAGCACTGGCAGGGGACCTGAGTAGAGGAGGATTCGGGCTTCACGGTGCAAAACCACTGCACACAATAGATTAAGTATAACATGTTTATTTTCATAAAAAAACAAAAAAAAAACAAATGGATGTTTTTAGTATCGCTTTAAATGGCAGCAACAGTAGTACCAAATGCTCCAAACTTTTTAGTGTGGCGCTACTTAGTACTTAAAACGTACTGGATATTGTGCTAATAAACTAGAAGTGCTATAAACACCTCCCTCCCTTTATAAATGCATCACTAACCTACTTATATGTGCATCCTCCTCAAATGAAATCCAGTGATATGATTATGAAATCACAGTATCAAATCCAAAAGAAATTCCCAATTTATGTGTTGTGTACTATAAAACGCCTCCCTCCACAAAAGCATGAATGTGTTTCTGTATAAATGTATGCAACAATGATTTGTGACATCCTCAAAATACAATATACAAGACCTTAAAGTGTTCTGCAAGCTGTGTACAACGTACTATAAAACCCCTCCCCCCACTGAAACAATGTGTTTCTGTGCAAAGTCTATGCGATTACAAACATTTGTGACATCCACAATATAAAACTCCTTAAAGTGCTTTAGTGCGGTCCACTTTAAAGTGCTCTTGAAATGAATGCAGTGCTGCATAACGTCCACCCTCAGCTCCTCTGCACTTCCTCTTAATGAACCTCTTGGGTTCCCCGAATCTCCTTCCTCTTCCACTCCACCAGTAATAGTCCAAGAGAACCAAAAAGCGGAACTTCAATAGTGTAATACTGTTTATTAAAACTTCACATGTATCAAAATTGCACTAACATTAAAAAGTATTCAAACTTGCTTATCTCGTGGTTCCGGGGCGCTCCTGCATTCCACAGATCGGGAGTAGGCACCTGGAAGTGACTCAAAAGGCTCCACCCAACTAGTTTCGTCGGCGTGACGTCATCAGTAGTGGTGCCATCTTGCTCCACTATCCGCTCTATATACTCTCCCTCCCATCAATTGCTTAACCCTTCATATACTCCTGATGCCCAAACTAGTGCTACTAAAAGACAATGCTGATTATTCCAAACTACATATGTAATGTGCTGCTCTCTACAAACCTAAAATGACCATATACATATAAACTAAAATATACTTCTAAAACACAGCAGCGATACGTATAACCTGAAATAAAACAAGTTTAAATCAATTTCCACATTTAATGACTCGAGTAAAAATCCATTGTGTTTCCCTCTTAGCGCTGATAATATACCAGTAGTATCAAATGTGCCTTTAAAAATAACACCGTGAAGAAATGCACCAAAAAGAAAAGTATTTGTTAGTAACAATAATAGCAAGAGATGAATCATTTTTGTTTACGCGACCCCGGAAACAACCAAGGAATGTGATGGCATCAAGAAGCTACCGGATAACAGCAGAGGCTTACGATACAACAGTCACATCTGAGCAGATGCAAGAAGCTGGTAAAATCAGAGCATAGATGAGCAATGACAATAACTCCATCACACTATATCCTCCGTTCATAAGCGGTTACATAAGAAGTTTAGGCAACAAGCATTGCCAGACCTTATCAAATTTCAGCGGATACGGTATGATAAATTCTGGCTAATTTGGCAGAGGCTAAATATATTCTGTGGAGAAATTTTAAAATGTATAAGGTGGTCACAGTCCGAAGCTAAAGGTTTGAATGGGTAATCCCATATGTCCTCCTAATCCTCTCCCTGCAAACCTGGAACATCTTCCACCCACTTCTTCCTGCAACACCTCACCTAGGAAGGGGCCACTGGGAATAGTACCCTTTTTTTTAATAGACCTTTTGAGAGTGGTTTCTTCAAGGAGCCATCAGTGAGCAACTATTAATAGTAGAAGGCCCAGTCTCTATACGAAGGGAGCTAAAGTGCAAAACAAAGGCATTGCGCAACTGTCGGTATCTGAAATGTAATCGTAATGGGTAGGAAGAGCAAACTTGACGCTTAATGTTTAAAGTCAAGACTAAAGGGTTAACCTACCCTCTCTAGTTATATCCTTTTATACTTTGACCCTTTTAGTTGCCCATATTGGGTCAGGCAAAGCAGCTACATTTGGGAGACTGGTATTCTGCCTGAGTGGCTAAGTGGGAGAGTTGGAAGGCGCCCTTGGATGCATAATAATCTGGATCTGCTCGCGTTCCTGAATCATTTTTTTGCTTGGAACTAGTAAGAGAAGACCCAAAATGATTTCCACCATGAACTAAAAGTGTAAAACTTTTTCATAAGACTTGTAAGATCCTAAAAGTGCAGCTTCAAGCATGGTGACCGAATCTCTGTCATGGCCAAGCAACCATCTGCATGTTA